GCATTATGCAATGGGTGCAGGTGCATAGTGCATAGTGCATTGTCGCGCAGTAGTTGCACCGGTGAGCATGCATGTGAACATGCAATACTTTCGCAGTCAGATGGCGCAAGCACATGGGTGCAGTAAAGCGGTCACTAGATCGCTATATCAAGCTCGCACCCATCTGAGCGCATGGATGCACTGTTGCAACAGTATACTGGCCGTGCGCCACGTCGAGACGCAGTCAAGTCGGCTATGCACTGTGGCATCACCGCAGTGCAAAGCTGACAATAGGTCAGCATCCACCCTAACATGCACTGCTGGCAAACACATGGGCGTGAGCATGGTGGCATACGAGCCTGTAAGCGTGGCATCTCAGTAGAGGCACTAGTGCCCATAGAGCCACGCGCCATAGATCGCATTATGCCACAGTATCGAGCATAGTGTGCAATAGTGCAAGTGTCCGCATGGTGCATAGTGCATACTGCTCTATTGCACTGGCATTGTGCAACGTCACGATGCTCTACACTTGCACACCTGGCGAGACGCCACGCCACGTGGTGCCACCTCCGTTGCACGAACAGCGCTCGCACGCCACAACACAACAAGCGAGCGACTACCTCACCACGCCTACAGTGCACGCCATATATAAGCCCGCGACGTCACGCACGTGCACGTGCAGCCGCACCACGCACGCACTGTGCACCGTACACCCCGCACGCAACAGCACGTGCACGTACAACGCCCACTGCACGCATCTCACTACACCCGCAGACGCAACGTTGCACGTCATACACCGCGACGCAGCCACGTGCACGTACACACGCGCACTGCGCACGCACGTGCACGTATACCCGCGACGCACGCCGTGCACTGTACACGCCGCAACCGGCACGCACGCACTTGCACGTACAGACCCGAACCAACGGGGCTGGTCACGGCACGTGCAACGTAATACCCGCACGCACGCACGGGCAACGTATACCCGCACGGCACGTATTACAACGCACGCACGTAACACCGCACGCCAGGAACCACGTGCACGCGCGGGGTACACTCCGCACGCTCCACGTGCACTTACACCCGCACGCACGCACGTGCACGTAACCGGATCGCACGCATCGTGCACAGTACAACACGCGCGAACGGCACCACGTGCACGTACCGGCGGCACGCACGCACGTGCAAACCGTACACCGCAACGCGACGCGCACGTATACCCGCACGCACCGCGCCCTACCGAGCCGCACGTACACGTACACCCGCACGCCACGCACGGCACAGTACACCCGCAACGCAACGCACGTCGACGTACACCCGCACGCGACACACGTGCAATGGTATATCCCCGCAACGCACGCACGTGCACGTACACCCGCACAGCGACGCGCACGTATACCCGCACGCAACGCACGTACACAGTACACCCGCAACGCACGCACGTGCACGTACACCCGCTCGCACTCACTGCACATACACCCGCACGTAACGTGCACGTAATAGCCCGCACTCACCTACACCCGCACGCGACGCACACACGCTGCACTACAACCCCGCACGCAGCGCACGCACTTTGCACCGTATACTCCCGCACGCAGGCACGTGCACGACACCGCACGCACGCACGTGCACGGTATACCTCACCACGCACGTGCACCACAGAACCGGCACGCAACGCACGTGCACGCACATCCGCAGACCGCTCGCACGCACATCCACGGTCACAGTACACCACCGCACGCACGCACGTCAACAGCCACGGTACAACACCCGCACGCACGCCGAACGTGCACCGTACAACCTCCGACACGCACGCTACGTGCACTGTACACCCGCAAGCGGCACGCACGTCGCACGTATACCCGCACACGCACGTTGCACGTACACCCAGCACGCATACCGCACGTGCACGTAACACCCTCGCAACGTCACAGCAGCACGTATACCCGCACGCACGCAACGTACACGTACACCGCACGCACAAACGCACGTCACGCTACAGACTCCGCACGCAACTCATCGTGCACATACCACCCGGCAGCGCGACGCACGTGCACGTACACCCGCCTCGCCACGGCTACTCTACGTGCACGTACACCCCGCACTGAATTTGCGTGCCTCACGCACGTGCACCCACGTACACCCGCACGACTATCACACAGCACGCACTGCACGTATACCCGCAACGCAACGCACGTGCACTGTAACACGGCGCACGCACCCCACGTGGCACGTATACGCCGCCACGCACCGCACGTGCACGCCACACGGCACGCACGCAGCGTGCACGTACAACGCCGCCGCACGCACGCACGTGCCACGTAGTACCCGCACGCACGCACTGTGCATACAGGTCCATAGCCTCGCCGACGGCAAGACCGGCACGCACGCACGTGCACGTGACACCCCCTCGCACGCACTCAAACGTGCACGTACAACCCGCACGCACGCACGTGCACGCCACTAACACGCCGCACTGCACGCAGCGTGCACGTACACCCGCACGCACGCAACAGCGGGCACGTAACACTCCGCACGCACCGCCACGTCATGTCGTATACCGCACAGCACGCACGTGGCACGGTACATCGCCGCACGCAACGCATGGGCACTATACCCGCACGCACGCGCGTGCACGTACACACCGCACGCAGATGCAACCGCACGTGCACGCTACACACCGCAGCACGTGCACGTATACCCGCACGCCACGTGCACGTACACCCGCACGTGCACGGATAGTCCGCGCACGCACGCACGTGCACGGTATACCCGCACGCACGCACCACGTGCACTAACACTGCCACACGCATCGTGCAAAGTAAACCAGCACGCAACGCACACACGCACTCACGTGCACGTAAACACTACCCCACGCACGCAACGTGTATGTATGTATATAATCCAGGAGCGTAGAAGACAAATTAATTTTTGTCGTTATACACCCCCTGATATACATATATGTGTATATATATATATAATATAATATATATATATATATATGAATATGAAGAGAAGATAAAGCTTGCCTTAACAGAGGTGGGTGGCAGCAACACAATCGTTCATCACCCCCTAAAGCCACCACTGCTACGGGGTCACGTCGTACCATCAGTACACGCCGTGCAACACACATATTGCCTTCGTGTTGAAATATGGCGAGGCGCTATATAACCATTACTCGAAGCATTTGTACGCTGTTCCTGTGTGTATCCCGCTTGATCCAAGAAGTGAAGTTTTTGGTAAGTGTTCTCGATAATGCAGGATTGGTCGCTTGTACGATTAATGCACAACATTTGTAAGTAAACTTTAGATCTGAATTATTTGTAATCGCCAGCACAGACTCGCCCTTGATCTTCTATAAAATGGGCTACCAACAGTAACACGGACGGACACTGAGCACACCACAAGCTTCTCTATTATGAGGGTCCCTCGCATAGTCTCAATTAAGGAAATAGCAATAGAAGCGCCGTAGAGCGAAAGAAAGTCAGTATAAGTAATAAACTAAGCACGAGTGCCCGCACGAAGCGAGACAGGCTCATGCTAACGTCTACTGTCGGTGACCTCTGTCGTGAGTTGTGGATCAGACTAAAACCTCTGACTGTGTAGATCCCCAAATGCTGTCACGACTAGCAGCGCCGAACAGTGGAATGCACAGGGATGGTCATCCAGGAAGCCTTCTCATAAAGAACTGTTCGTGCCCTGCGGGATCGTTATGTAAAGTCTGCCACGAGATTGGCGCGTACTTTAAGTGTCTTCAGAATTAAAAGATGGAAGCTCACATCATACTAGTAAGCAACAACTTCATCTGGCAAGACAGAATAGGTAACCACTCATCCATTTATCCCTAGCGCGAAGCCTACAGGCTGCAAATAGAGAGCTGCCACCTGTAACCAATTAACGCAGCAAATAACATCCACAGTACCGACCAACACATGCACTGGCAGTAGCCACTGGCATGGCATAGGTACAATGTAACATATCTGACAGTACAGAATCCATCGAAAATGTATATGATATTTAAGGAGCATAAACCTTCATTTAACCAAATTTAGCTTTTGAAATTTCACTGTGACATTGTAGGCCTCATACATCCAGCATTATAGATTCTAGCTAAGCAAACCGGCAGTCAAATTCTTTAATAACAGACAGTCAACAAAATCAATGTTTTAACCCTCCTCATTGAGGGTCAGGAAGGTTATCTGACACTACTCCTTCGCATGTCAGCAGAAAGTAATTTCATGGTCCTTTCAATAATGCCGATAAAAAATGCTAGGTCACCGCTGAAACAAAAAAAGTTTTTCAATCGCTCCGTCAGACATGTCTTCCAGAAAAGTCCAAAAAATCTGCCTCTGTGCGCCATGAACCTTTGACCTGTGACCTCGCAAATTTCAGCACAGTGATGGCTTTTCCTACTATGATGCTATACAACCGACTAATCTAACGAGCCTAAGTCGAGCCGTTTAATTTGTGGACGCAATTCTGCATTTCTCCCTATACCCTTAAGTTAAGAGTGGATATGTCCCCTGTCTGTTTACACCTCTGACCTTTGACCTTTGACCTCCAGCTTCGACATCCCAACTCGTTCGATTACCCCCCACGGTCCCCGAATATCGTGACCGTACGTCGAGCGGTTAAAGATTGTGACCACTGCTTTGACTGGACGCACGGAACGGACGCACGACGATCATCGCGATTGCTAAAACAAGCTGCATCTGACTATGTCAGATGAGCTAAAAATAAAAAGACTTCTACATGTACAAATAAATGTCAGAAACCTTGAGCATGTGCATGTGCATGCTAAGCCACAGTATTTTAACTCGAGAATTACAAAATAGGATCTGGCCATTTAATAACCCTAGCTTTCTTTTGAACTTTTTAGAGCACCCAAATTTAGTAGCAAGATCATGACCAGTGTGTAAAAGTACAACTTAACGATATGTCTGAGATGTTCCAAGAGATGTTCCTGATAATACTATTGCCAAGAGGTGGATGTATATACATAGTAGTATGTTAACAAGACATCAGTTTTACTATGCACCTATACAACGAGGCACATTTATTAACACAGGTAACGCTAACAAGTACATGCAAATTTAACAATAAAATAATTAGGCTAAAATATATACATACTACAACTTCCTCCTACATTGCCACGTATGTATTTTTGGTCAATTTAAAAAAAACAAACATCATTTAATTTTACTGTAATCTATTAATAGCAATGCGAACATTGCCTGTGAACCATTCATTTATGAACATGCTGTTTTTCTTCAATACTGATCCCCAAGACCAGCAGGTTATGTTATCCCATGTGATAGACTGTCACATTAGCTAAGCCAGATCTCTCAGTTTTAAAAACTTTCTTCGGGAACGCCATCTCGTAGATAGTAAATGCGGTGTATCCAACACCAAAAGGCACACAGTCCCAGCGTGAACTGATACAGGGCCAAGTCCACCACGATTCCACGCTTCAGATGCACGGAAGGCCGTTGGGCACCTGAAATATTAAGCACAACACAAAATTATATATCATTGATTCATTTATGATGAGACACAAACCATCACTTATTAATTTTATTATTAAATCACCCACAAGCACGCACGGATGCACGCACGCACGCACACCCAAACACATTGCGAACCCCAGTCAATACGGTAAACGATTTATGCGCCATCTGTAAGCAGATAAAGAAAGTTTTTAGGTTTACAGAATGCAGTAATGTTACACAGAACCAGCTGCATTCGTAAAAATGGTTTATATTTTAAGGGCTCAGTTTTGAAAAATACAGAAACACAGGGTGTGCACAATATTAAAGAGCACAAAGCACAGGGGGTGGTGCACTCACTACGAAAATATCAATGTAGCACGGGCATATGTACGACTACATTAGAAAGATACCGCTCGCTACCCACATTACCCGACTGTACACTTAATGTGCTCCCTGTTGTTACTGTAACTAACTCTCTTACAGATAGAAAGATGCAAGAGAAGAATATATATACATCAGGGTTCTCCAAGAGCACTTATAGCGCCATGCTGCCATGCTAAATATCATAGCCCCCGGAGCCCCATAGCACGCAAACCCCGCACCGCCTTCGGCGATTTGCAACTAGGAGCGTAAAGGCAGCACCTGCCATGCTATAATGAAAAAGCTTGAAGAACCCTGTACATATATGTGGAGAGGGGCCTGGCATACCTGCATCATCTCCTGAAGCTCCTTTATGCGTTTGGGACCACCTCTGCGAGCCGCTGACGTCGATAGCCGTGCAAACGGCGTCGTTAGCCTTACAGCCGACTGAAAAAAAAGCAAATGCTAGTTTAAGTGATTTTTATCGATCAACGCGTGACAAACTCACTTATAGTTTGAAATAAAACATGAATATATATATATATATATATATAGAAAAATAAGACAGATTTATGAAATCAGCATCGACAACCTGGCATGTAGTACCACGTACTGGTTAGACGGGTTTGCGGTCTTTTTACGCAAGAAAGGACAAGTCTAACTTGATTTACCACTGCAAGTGGAACATTACGTTTGGTGGGAATTGGACCACATTTATTGTGATAGTAATGCTGCACAGTCTGCGGAATTCAGAGTGGTGAGATCCAAGATCTCTGGGTCTGTTTAGGCATCATTTCCAGTACTCATCGACTAAGTCATGCTCTCACAACCAACCTGCTGCTACCTATATTTAAGGCTCTAGCTAGATCAACTATACTGGTCACCTTTGGCCTCAGGGAGTTTTAAATTCACCGTTATGTTTGTGCAGACGTGACTTTCTAGACATCTAGACGTCTATTTTTTTTACATTGTTACTGATCGATTATGGTAGCATGTTACTGTAACAGTGCGCGGAACATTTTAATCAAATGTTTATCGTTTAATCAAATTGTTTGTGGAGAAATTAATAGCTTTTCTCACATTGTACATTTTCTTATGGCATGTTCAGTACGCGTACACTACAGCCTAACAATTACTTTTTTTTACGAGAGCTCTTTTTTGATTTTGTATGAAAAAAAGAGCTCTCGTAATTTTTTTACGGGAGCTATTTTAGGCTTGGTCAGAGCTACTTTTTCATAGCATGATTTTGTTAAAATTTTCATAATTTTGATGCACCGACTCAAATAATGTCTCATAAGCCAGAAATAGTGTTGAATTATCGTAAAGGTGTTTCCCAATCGAAAGTCAAGATTATGCTTTAGCGAAATCGACGAGGTCAACAATCATTCATAATGGTGACAAAATCACGGAGGCCGGGTTTACATGTTGCTGTATGCATATTGTGTACAAAGTATGACTGCATGCACTGATTGTCTCATTTGCATTATTTTTTTCATTCAAATCTCGTCGCAGCAAGGCAGCTTATATGTCTGTGCAAAACAATGCAAGGGATGGGTGGAAACAGAAAAATCTCATTATGTCTTTAGTGTCTAGTCATTCAATAAAAAAAACTTGCTTGCCCGAACAGGCAAATGCAATTTCAAGCTACTAGTCCATGAGCCCAGAGCCCAAAATTGACATTTCATTACCAAGTTGAGGGGCAAATGCTATCATACATTTTTTGAAAGCCCTTGCTGTGTAGATCAATAAAATATGTGATAGCCTTGTCAGATCGGTAGTTTAAGGGGGTCACGTGACTTTAAAGTCAGTAATTTATGCAAATTTGGCTGATTTATACTAAATCTTTAAAAAATCATATCCCGTTCCGATTGCAAGGTAATTCTGTCATCTCTTCAATTATTAGTTAGGTTTATGGTGAGGTTCGTTTTTGCAACAAAAGTTTTTGATTATGGGATGTTGAAGTCACGTGACAATAATATTATTTCTCAAAAATACGTAAAATTATAGGAAAAGTATCATTATACTTTAAATGATCCACGAAAATGACTTAATATCCCACTAAAAACAATAATTAAGAATTTTGGATTTTATTGTTAATAATCCTGACCTTTTTCGTTTGTATTTTCGTGACATTTGTAGGATTTATATAACATTTTATAAACCGGAAGTAGTTTTGGTCACCCTGTGGTAGAAACAAAGAATTCTAAAAACGTGTATTTTTGAATGATTACATTCATTTTACAAGATTATACACTGTATACGTCACGAGCGGTTGACACACAGCGCGCGTGCGTGTGTGTGTTGTGTGTGTGTGTGTGTGTGTGTGTTGTGTGTGTTGTGTGTGTGTCTGTGTGTGTGTGTCTGTGTGTGTGTGTCTGTGTGTGTGTGTGAATTTGTGTTATATATGCATATGCATCACTATATGGTTATCGTTTATTGCATAAGTAATATAGATAATACCAGGAGTGAAGACAATTTATTAATCACTCGTGATAATACCGTGTATTAAAGCGTTATCTGCAAAAGCAACCGAAAGGCGCGCTGAATAGTTAATTATTGCTTGCTGTATCGTAGAGCAAGCACTATCAACGAAACTTCGGGTCTGTCCGTTGGCTCGTTGATTGTATATGGATCGGTCGAAATTTCAACACTGTTGCCCGTACTACTAAATATATACTCAAGACTGCGCTTAGCGTACTATGTAACCTCTCACAGTTATAAATAGGCATTGTTAACCATTCCCGTCGTGGCGACAGTAATGAATTTTGACAAAAATTGGTTGCATAATTTTACAATTGTCAGTGCGATAAATTGAACAGTAGATTTGTTAGTGCATATTGCGCTGTTAATTGCTGTTAATCTTTATGCGCATATTATCGTGAGCATTTGCATTCACGCCGTTTCATTCTCTCCATTTGTCGCGTCCATCCTTCCCTCGCGTCGTCCATCCTTCCATCGTCCGTCCTCCAATTAAGAAATATATAGAGACTTATACTAATAAATTATACTCGCTATATTATTTCTTTGGTCCCTCCGTCCGTCCCGTCCGTGCCGTCGTCCGTTACCGCATCCATCCATATGCCTATTAATTTATCGCATCCATCCTTTTAATTTTATCCATCCATAGGCCCTTGTTTAATTTATCTCATCCATCCATACCTATTAATTTATCCATCCATCCATCCCATCCTATAATTATCCATCCATCCATCTAGCCATTAACTTCCATCGATCCATCGACGCCATCCATCCATCATCCATCCAACCATCCTCCATCCACCATACCATCACCCTCCATCCCATCCATCGATAACTCGCCATCCACCATTCCATGCCATCCATCCATCCATCCATCCATCCAACACATCACATCCATCCATCATCCATCATCCAGTCCAATACATCTAACTCATGCCATCCATCCCATCCATCCATACCATCATCCATCCCTCCATTCCATGCCATTCATGGCCATCATCATGCATACCATGCCATACCCATTCATCATCATCCATCCATCCATCCATCCATTCCATCCATACCATACCATCCATCCATTCATCCATTCCACTCATCCATTCATCCACTTCATCCATTCATGCCATCCATACCATACCATGCCATCCGATTCATTGGCCATCCGTCTATCCTTCCTTCGCCTTCCCGTCGACGTATCGTCCTCCGCTCGGTATTGGTATACCAATAACGTACACGGTCAGCTACCTGAAGGTTACTAAACAATGTAGTAAGTTGTCTATATTGATCAGTCCTAAAGATTTAATTAATCATCACTCTGGTTCAGAGAAATTGCTCAAGAGTATTTAATTTTAAAATTATTGTATAAATGAATGTAAATAATTGAAAAATACCGTTTTTAGAAATTCTTTGTTTCTACCACAGGGTGACCACACTACACACCTTTTTTTAAAAAGGTTAAGTAATCTTACAAATGTTCACTGACAATACAAA